CAGTTGTGGGACTACAAGGCAGATGGCCCTAGTTCAAAGCCCGACTGGGTTTTCATGAACTTCAGTTGTTTTGTGCAGTTTTAAATGCTCCTTACTTCTTTTGTTCGGTCTTATCGGAAGTGAAAATAGAATTCGGAGCTTTTGCCTCTTCATTATCCTTACACTGGTGGACTATGTGTTAAACTCATTCAATTTACGCTCTACTAAAGTTGTTCAGAACTGCAATGTTCAGTGTTGTAATGTTCACAATTGGTGTGCCCCCAACAGGTGTGCTCGCTATCGGCGTGATCGTTGATAGTAAAGCGTCTGTGGTGAGGCGGTTTGGTGTCTCGCCGTGGCACGCATGATGACCGAGCTCGATTCCCGAGTGGGGAGAATTTGATTTTAAATAGAGGAGGCCTATTTCCGCTTTTCTGTTGGGATGTAGCATCCCTCTCAGCTCAGGTTGACCTTGTCAGGCAGGGGCAGTAGCCCGCCTCCTAAAAGATCCAAAATAAGTAGATGGGGGATTAAAACGAACTATATTAATAAGACAAATAACGTCCTTGTTAAATAAAACGTTTATGAATTGAACGTATTAATTACTGTTGTATGACAATGTCCTCTTAGTAAATATGATGTCTCTGTTATCTAATAATGTACTATCGAGAGAACGCCGCTGTCTCAGACAATCGACTTAAGTCAAAATATGGAGAATTTTCGATTTTTACACACTCTCAAAGCTTTATCAAGGATGCGCCTTTCCACAGCCTCAAAATGCAGTTTAATGCATTGGTCAAGGTTACCAATTATCATACTTTTCATGATTTTTGGTAGAAAAAACATTTTAAAAAAAAATCTTTTGTGTAAAAAGCACCCAAACGGACAAGGATTGCTTGAGACAATGACGATAATATCATTCTATAGACCAATGTCTGAGTGGTGAGTGTGTTTTACTGTACAGTGGAATCCGGATTCAACGAACTCAGATTCAACGTTCAATTTCGTTGAATCCAAGTGTACGTAATAGCATACCTGATGAGGTTTTTGTGTAGATAATTACAGGCACTGAGCAAAGTAATGTACAATGTATTCGACTTCATTCAATCCGAGTTCCACTGTATACTCACGAGTCTTTGAATCTTGCAATTTCTACAGGTGCGTGATTTGTGAAGACAATCCTCAAAAGTAACCATGGCACCCCAGAATGGACGACCTAAGCATCATGCCTCAGGTAAAGTTAAGACAGCTGACCGACATTTTGACTGTACACTCATTTGGTGACCCAGCCAAGACAGACATTTTGACTGTACACTCATTTGGTGACCTAGCCAAGACAGACATTTTGACTGTACACTCATTTGGTGACCCAGCCAAGACACACAATAATGTTGCTGGACTTGCACTTCGTGACGTAAGCTGATTCAGCCCAAAGCGCCGCTCACAGCGGCGGACAGTGACGACAGTCTCCTGTCTTTTGACGCAGAGCCGCTCAGACTTAGAGCGGTTCTTACAAGTATACTTTATTGCTCCCTTTCTTCACATCTCTTTCCTCTTTTTCCCCTTATAACTTAAATTCTGACCCCCTTTTTTGGTGTTATTGGACAGCATTTTTCTGAACTTGATATAGGTTTTAAAAAATTAAATATATACATATATTATATATTATTTTATATATATATAATATATTTCTTTTTAGCAACTTTTTGCGAGGACACCAATGAGGTCACGAAGCGGTCACAAATTATTTACGCCCAGAGTCAAAATTATCTGTGGGCTGAATCAGACAATTACTAGATCTACGACAGTTGACTCAGGCGGACTCTCACTGAGTGACGTAACAGACAAAAAGCGTTAGTTGGTGTACGTTAGTTTCTTAGTGACGTCTTGACTATGGTTGTTATTTTTGTTGTTTGTTTTAGTTTTAGTGAGAATTTTACGACATTTGCAACACAGTAAGTTCATACCCACTGAAAAACAGCCAAAAAAACACAAAAAACAGCATCAAACAAACAAAAAACAACACAAAAACAAAACAATAACAAAACAATAACAAAACAAAAATGGAGGAGAGATAAGGACGATAGATGTTGGACAGGAAAGAAGGAGACAACCCAACCAGAGCACCCACCAACCACCAACAGAACGTTGAGGCAAAACATTCTCATAATGACGTCATGATGAGAGGCATTGTGGCTGAACAAAAATTATCAGTACCTGACGAACGGAAGAGGTCTAATGCGCACCAAAGATCGCACATAACAAGATTGTTCACTTAGCTAAAAAAGTGTCCACGGAAGTCCGTGCATTGCTTCAGATGGCGCCGCAGTCTTTGTTTTGAAGCTCTTTTTCGTTTTTCCAGAAGAAGAATAGGAATAACACAGTTTTATTTTTATTGGTTTTTTTCCACACAAGTAGGGTAGATCTAACTCTGTTCACGAAGTCCGTGCTTTTTCAAAGAGGGCGCCACCTAATTTTGAGGACACTTTTTAATTACTCGTAGCTCAAAGAGAGGAGTGAACTACTCGTATCTTGTTATACACGATCATTGTGCCCACCAAAACATTTTATCACCCGGTACTCATCTGGTACATTAAAAGAAAATCGATGCTAACAAAAAAATTCGTCACAAATTTTAGCTGCCTGGCTGAACAATGGTACGTTGTATTGTGACGATAGACGCTACAAGTTGTCTACAGTAGGTTGTACGAAACGGAAGTCTTTTTGTCCTCTTGTGTGTTAGCTGCACATAATGTACAGACTTCAACATAAGTTAAGGACCACTTTGACAGACAACCCTGATTTTTTTATCTGACAAAAAAAAAAGACAGCAAGGAATGTTTCAATTTTTCAAACTCTGAAACTGTTGATGGGTTACCAATGCGTACTGCAATGCTTCCCGAAGGGGCAAAACCATCACATGCTGCACTGAAATCCTCAGGGAGTTTAACCAAATTTGCTATTTTTTATCGACTTGTGTGCAACACCACGGACATTCCTCAGTTAAAATTTCTGGTGCTCGTCATAAACGGACGTATGGTCTTGAACTGTGCTCACTTTGGTGGCAATGTAAACCGCCGTTTGCCCAAAATCCAGTATCGCATCAACGTGCCACCAAGACGAACGCTGAGAGACTTTGATCGTGCCAGAGCTATGGCATGGCTGCAGGATGGAGTTGGAGCCCGAGAAGTTGCCAGAAGGCTTGCAGTGTTAGACTCTGTCATTGTCCGCCTGAGGCAGCGCCATCAAGCCGCTGGATCAGTCCAAGAACGCCCACGAGCAGGTCGATCCAAGAAGACCCCCAGAGTGTTTGCAAGTGGTCCTTAATTTTTGTTGAAGTCTGTATTTAGCGGGAATCTATAATAATAGTATGCTACAAGTATGGTTTAGACTCACTCACTGAAGGAATTATCACCAGGGCCTGATTATAGGCGACTGTGGTGTAGTGGTTACGTACTTCGCAGTCGCACACATGAGACTTGAATTCGATTGTCCGAGTTGGAAGAATTTTTATTTAGTATATTGGTCTTCCCGATTGGCCCAGACAGGCAGGGTGGATGCCTGTCTCCTAAATTATCTAAATTGTGTTGATTGGAAAGTGGGGGGGGGGGGGATTAAACACCTATTAAAAAGTGTTGTGACGCGTCAGGCACACAAAACCGTTCATAACGCATATTTAGCAGACAAGTTATAGCGTATTCATGGGATTTGGGTATGGCCAACACGGGGAAAAATAATCTACCCAGTGAGTGGTCATGACTAAAGTTCCGGCATCTGCATCACAAAATAAGCCTGTAAACTTCTAAATCTTCAATCGACTCAATTTAGGTTCTTCAGAAAGCTGGTGCTTGTACTCTGCTTGTCCTTTCTAACTCAAGCTGGGTGGGATGTAGGATCTGAACTGAAAGACAAAGATGTCCGAAAACATAATTTAATTTTCGAGTACATTAATCAACTCCCGTCTTCTGCGTGAAACATCAGAAAGCCTTACCATTACAGCACAAATGCCAGTTTTTCTTATCGTGAATGATTCTCTCAATTTAAGGGGGCTCTCATGGTCTAAAGGGTACAGTGTTCGCCTGTCATTCAATAGGTCCCGAGTTTGAATCCGGACAGCGACGGAAAATTTTCTTCGCTAAAATGTTCTCCTGTCACCTCCATTTCTGCTCTCTAACAATGTTCTGTCGCCTGCTCTTGTCTCCATTTTCTGCCCCCTCCTCTCGGCTCCTGACTCTTTCTACAGCCGTTCTAGTGCTACTCCTTGGCTACTTTTTACTGCTTCCTTTCAGCCACTACTCTGATCTTTGGGTAGATAAGATCAAACACTTAGTATTCTCAGATAAGGGCAAAAAAAAAAATCAAAGAGACCCTGAGTGCACTTGCGCATGCTAAAAACCCTTGGTGGTCCAAAAATCGATAAGGGTAGCTTCGGGGGCCATACAGACAAAATTCAAATTAATTTCTACCATATTAAAAACGTTTAATGAGTCCTGCGCCCTCATATATTATGACCATATTATGCAGTTGCGCTCGCCTTAAAACACTTACTAAAACAAAATCTCCCAATTTAGCTCATTACAAATTAAGCACCTGCCAGCTGTGAGTGCCCTGTTCCGTGAATGATAGATAGGTCCTACACACCATAATACACATGATAAGAAATAGTTTCACGAATAAGAAATTAGTGCTGAAATCAAGAGAAACGCCCACAAGCCCATCCATAAGTAATGCTTAAAATGTGGCAAACGTTTCTGTACCGTACCACGAGTGGTCTCATTGGCCATAACAGAAGCCAGAAGTCGTCATAAAAGTGCCAACTATTAGACGTGGTACTACTAGGGAGTAACTTATAAAGACAAGTAGAAGAGATAAGGACGATAAATGTTTGGTGGAGAAAAAGGAGCAGACCACATCAGAACACTCGCCCGCCCACTTAATTAACACGTCTGATGTCTGTTGCGGTAATAATACATTTTAATAACATAGATCTATACTTTCAAACAGGTTTAAGTGCTGTGAAAATGCAGTCTTTTGATCTAAATCTGATACTATCTATTGTGACAGAGGTTCGAACCCTTGACGAGTTGGTGGTCATCTCGGGAGGCTGCGGTGTGTTCCAGTTGATGTTGGTCGTGTGCACCTACACCTCGCAGATCTGCGCAGTCTGGGGAATGCTTTTCATGATCTTTGGGAACTACCACGGAGCTTGGCGCTGTGAGTCGGCCCTCGTTGACCCCAGCTACGCCACAAGCAGAGGACAACTGGACACCACCACAGCTTTATCTGGTAACATCACAACCCCTCCGTCTGATACGATAGACTCCGGAGCTACTTTCCTGTCCAACATGAGTGGAGTTTCCAGTCTTAAAGATATCCCAGCTAGTGTTCTTTGGAATGTATCGGATATGGCCACGTCTGTGATTAGAGGGTCTAACGAGTCAGTTTTTGTGCGACGTTGTCCAGGGGAGGGGGAGTCATGCCGAAAGATTGTGTACGAGGACTCTTCTGCAACCGCTGTCACCCAGTGGAACCTCATCTGTGATCAGTCCTGGGTCCAGTCCTTCATCATATCAATACAGATGACGGGTGTTCTCCTCGGCTCCTACGTCAGTGGTTTCCTGGGTGACCGCTGTGGGCGTCGAGTCAGTCTCTACGGCAGTATCTGTCTGCACGCTGTCTTCAACTTCCTCATTGTCTTCTCGGATTCTTGGCGCGTGTTCCTCGCCCTCCGTTTCTTGATCGGTTTTTGTATCGGTGGCGTCCTGACGTCATACTTCCTGTACCCCATGGAATTTGTCTCCTCCTGGTGGCGCGCCGTTCTCGGAGCCCTTCCCGTGTGGAATATCGGGGCCGCCACTTTCTCCGTCATGGTGTACCTCCTGCAGGACTGGCGACACATCCATCTCTGCACCGCTTTGCTCTCTCTCCTCTACTTCCTCCCTGTGTTTTGGGTGCCTGAGAGCCTTCGTTGGTTGGCAATTCACGGACACACTGACAAGGCAAAGCGCTTGGTGGTTAGAATCGCTCGAACAAATGGTCGGCCCTCACCCCCGATGTCGGTTCTGGCGATGGTGTCCACGGAGGAGGTTCGCAGGGCTGCCAACAACCGGTTCTCTTACACTCTCATGGATCTATTCGTCGATCCGGTTCTCCGGAAAGTGTCTCTGGTCATGGGCTTTGTGTGGGCGTGTCTGGCTCTTGTTTACTACTCGCTAAGCTTTGGCATCAAGGCTCTCTCCGGGGACTTTTACGTCAACTTTCTTCTCTTCTCGGTTGCCGAGGTACCAGGCATGCTGTTTGTCGCCCCGGCCTCCAATAAGTTGGGTCGTCGAGTGGCCAGCGTGCTGTACTTCCTCCTTATCGGCAGTGCCTGTATCGCCGTGGTCTTCGTTTCTTTCCTCGCCCCCGAGGAGGTCAGAGGCCAAGCCATCACCATCTTAGCTATGGTGGCCAAAGTGCACATCCAGGCGGTGTGGATGATCGTGACCTTGTTCTGCTCCGAGCTCTATCCTACCGTTGTCCGAAACCAGAGCAGTGGCTTTCTCAACGCATGCGCGCGGCTGGGCGGTATTGCGGCTCCCTACCTGATACCAGGAAGCGAGGAGACGCTGTACATCTCCTTCCTTGTCATGGGCATCTCGTGTCTGCTCTGTGGCCTCATGCTGCTGACTCTCAAAGAGACAAAAGGAAACCCATTAGATGACGTCATCAAAACCAGGCACAAGTTGTCGGTCATAGCGGAAGAAACAGAGGAAGATTTGTCGGACGACGGTCAGCTGTGAGATAGAAAAAGTTTGTTAGCTAACTGCCAGCTGTGAAACAGATGAAGTTTCGTTAGTTGATTGCCAAGTAACTATGAAACAGATGAAGTTTTGTTAGCTGACTGTCAACTGAGACACCCGGAGTTTTGTTAAGTGACACCACTGGTCTGATTGCCAACTGTAAGGAAACTTTGCTTGCTGATTGTCAGAAGTGAGATAGTAAGAATATAATAGGAATACACACAAGCTGATTGCCTGTCTTAAGTTAGAGGGAGGTTTGTCAAGTAATTGCCAGCTATGAGACAGAGAAATGTTTGCTAGCTGACTGACAGCTGTGAGACAGAGGAATGTTTGCTAGCTGACTGACAGCTGTGAGACAGAGGAATGCTTGTAACAGATTGCCAGATACGAGACAGAAGGGCGTTTGGTGGATGACTGCCAGATATGAGACAGAGGAACGTTTGTTGGATGACTGCCAGCTGTGAAAGTGAAGAAAATGTGTAAGACAACAATTTGCTAACAGAAGGACTGACAAACATATTATGTTCGTTTAGAACCAATTGTGAGGCAGAGAAGCGTTTTTCAGCTGACAATCAGGACTTGTTGTAAATTGTCAAAGCTTGACAGCCTGAAATTCGTTGTCTTATGCTTGCATAGAATGCTGAAAAATAGGTTGATGCCAGTAAAAGTGATGCCTGTGCAGCGCTCCACAAAATAAGTGTGTAGAACCCCCCCCCCCCCCCCCACACACACACACCTTTCTGAGCAAGATTAATTAAGAAAAAAACCCCGAAGAAAACCAAAGCAGGTGTGCCCTTTAATCACCCTCTTTCCTACAGTCCTTTGTTGAGCACATTTCTTTGTTGCACTCATTTCTTTTTAGCCCTCACTTATGTTCAGTTCTGTATTGTACCCAGTTCTTTGTCTAAGTTTTTCTTTGTTGCACACATAATCTAGTTTATTATTGCACACTACCGAACTGTTTCTTCCGTTCATTGTTGGACTTATTTCTTTCTTTCGTCAAAGATAGTACAAGACAAGATGGGCCACTTCTCTCTTTGAGCCAATTAAAAAAGTGTCCTCAAAATTTGGTGGCGCCCTCTTCACAAAAGCGCACTCTTTGCGAACAGAGTTACCCTACTTGAGTTTTAAAAAATCAAAGTGAAACTAGCAAGTTTTGGGATAAATTTCGGAAGAACGCTTTTTAAAAATGGTTACGCTGACAAAAACCTCTTCCGGAGGAAAAGGAGATGGTTTTCTTCGTTTAATTTGACTTTAGAATGAAGGGCGAGAGGTCATTAAAATATAAAAAAAACTAAAACTCCCCACTGAACGTACCCGAACTGCTGATGAACAGCAGTCGATCTGCGCACGCAAGGAGGTGCTATTCCTATTCTTCTTCTGGAAAAACGAAAGAGAGCTTCAAAACAGACTGCAGCGCCATCTGAAGCAAAGAGCATACTTCCTGCGGACACTTTTTAGGCTGAGTGGCCCATCTTGTCTTGTACTATCTTTGCTTTCGTGCTTTGTCTCACTCAGTGCTTTAGTGTGCTTAATTTTTCTAAGCACTCAGCTTTTTCTTTTTCTTTAAGCGACCAGTGCTTATTTATGCATGTATGGTATATAGTGCTATATAAATGCTGCCTATTCATCATCTTCAACTTCAAGTGCTAGATATGCGACAGACATCGGCGATCATGGCTCTCAATTAATTCCTTTGCTCGGATGCTCTAAAAAAGCTATATTACCCAGATCTTTCCCTGTCACCCATCTGTTTAGGTACTCCAAGTAGGTCACTGGGCCTACCCCTGTCTCGCTTGCCTTCAATTTTGCCAGTGACAGATAGATTTCCAAGGTAACCTTTGTTAGTTTGTATCTATTTAGGTGTTCCAAGAACTGCATTTGGCAGTCTATTATGATTATAGTTATTGTTAATGTTATCATTACTATTATTACGGTTACCATTATTATTATTATTAATATTATTATTACTATTATTATTATTATTATTATTATTATTATCATCATCATTATTTGTTCCTTTCAGTTGTTTTTTTTATAGTTCATCATGCCACTCCGTTATTTTTTTTATTGCATTTCCACGCGTTGGGGAGAAGCACTGCACCCCCATGCTGTCATGGTCAAATGCTCTTTCAGAATGTTAGTCACTCGCCTGGGTGTCTTGACGGCCTTTATTATGTCAGTTAACATCCGAAAAAACGAAGCTTCAAGTCAAACCTGTATCAGAAATGTTGTGGTACGATACTACGCAAAAATTGCAAGATCAATCAGTCAGTGTGCCCTCCCTTCCCCCTCCCCTGGACATACACACACTCGAAAACACACACACACACACACACACACACACACACACACACACGCACACACACACACACACACACACACACACACGCACACACACACGTATTCACACACAGCAAACACACACACCGCTACCAAAGAAAAATTAATTTTTTAAAAAGCCCAACACACAATCCCAAAGAATAAACAGGCAAAAACCGTAAAAATCAGTCTCGTTGCCCCGATATCCATCATCCATCCTCCACCCTCCGCACGGCCACACATACACCCACCCACACACATACACAGAGAGAGAGAGAGAGAGAGAGAGAGAGAGAGAGAGAGAGAGAGAGAGAGAGGGAGAGAATTCAGACACCTGAACGTTTTGTCTCTCATGGCCGACTGTTTTATTGCAAGGGCAATGAAAAATTAAATGTGCGAAATTGTATACCATGATAAAAGCCCCTTTCAACCCTGTAAGGTTTTAGAAGGCAGAGCCTCCAAATTTAACATCCTTCAATAGAACCAAATTAATGGTGGAGAGCCTTAAAACCTCCCCGAATAAACCCAAGCTCACAACGCCTCGATGTGTTTTGGGGCTAAAAGTTCCGTAGTTCAGCGTGATAAAAACGGAACTAATATTACGTCCCCCCAGACCAAAGATGCAAGTTTCTCATCTGAAAACATCCTACGGTGCAGTACTACAGTGGATTGTCTTTGTATTCACAACAGTCAACTGCTATTGTGTGAAGAGACTTTGTTATATATACTCGTCTGACAATAAATTTACATCCCATACCACACTGCTACGACGTAGTACAGTTATTTATCGTTGCTCAATATAATGTGTTGTTTCTGTCTGTCCTACTTTCGTCCAGCAGTAAATTATGATCCCTATTGTGGCGATGTAGATCTACTTCTCTTTACCCTAAGGAAGAAACAAACAAACGAACAAGCAAACAAACGTTTAGTCAAATTCCTCACTTTCTGAAACATTTCGACTCTCTCTACCTTTCCATTTCGTGTTTAATTTTACTTCTGACACAAAATGGCACTGCAAACTCCTACATGGGACCTTACACGTTGATTATCATTGGTGCCACACCATACATGGCGTAGTGTGTGCGACCAGACATTATGGGAAAGGGGGGGGGGGGGGCTCTCGTGGGCAAGGGGTCACGGTGTTCGCCTGTCATTAAGTAGGTCCCGGATTCGAATCCGTATAGCGACGGAAAAAATTCTTATCTAAACTGTTCTACTTTCACCTCCTTTCCTGGTATCCAAAAATGTTCTGTCGCCTGCTTTCGTCTCCACTTTCTGCCCCCACCCCCTCACCTCCTTTGCCACCTCCTTCGGGCTCCTAACTCTTTCTGCAGCCTTTCTTTTGCTACTCCTAGGCTCCTTCGTGCTGCTGTCTTTCAGCAAAACACCCCTGGTCGTATGGTAGATAAAATCTAACCCTTTTCGGATAAGGGTGAAAAATCTCGGAGGTCCCATGTGAAATTTGTGTACGTTAAAGATCGCTTGGTGGTCCAAAATCGATAAGAGTAGGATTATGCCGCCACCCGGCCAAATTCTAAATTAATTCCTACCAAACTAAAACTAAAACTGCTTAATGTGTCCCGTGCGCTCATATTACATGTATTGTGACCCAGTTACGAGCGCCGTAAAACATGTACCCCCCCCCCCCAAAAAAAAAAAAGAAAGAAAAATAAAGGACATCATAGTGCATAACCTTGTGACATAATAATGCTAGATCGTGCACTCTGACATACATTTGATACACTATTTTCTAGCCGAATACATTGTACAATGTATAAAGAATTAAAGAAACAGCTTATTTTGTCGGTTTAGTATAATCAGAGAGCTTAGAATTACCGGTATATTCATAGAGTTAGATGTACCTCCTTTTTAAACCAAAAGTGCCAATTGTGTACATCTTTTTTTTCTATGATGAGTATAGATCCGATGGAAACGTCAAAGGGACGTAACCATAGTGATAGCTCTTCTTTCAGAGACGGCGTAACTACTTCCCTTTATTATTACATGACGATGATGATGATGCCAAGATTGTCTTTTAATATTTATCAACAAGTTCCTTGGGTTATGTCACAAAGAGTAGGCAATTGGTATTAAGCTTCTGTGTATTCAAATGGACAAATCCCATATAACTAATAACAAATTTGTTTATTTCTAATTTTATTATTTTTCAAACTTAGGCTCCACAACTCTGTATAGATCTAATGCCCTTTGAGGGCACAGAAGTAGAAGTACAGCCATTGCAGTTTACATTGAGGCGTTGGTACTGCTAACTGTGGGCAATTGAGGAAGATACCGGGGTGATAGTTGTTGTAGGTTTTTATAATCCCTTTTTGTAGAGGAGGAGTGAGGGTGACGGGCCGGGAATAGGTAATGGATCGAGGTCGGGAGTAAGTGGGGGGGGGGGGGGGGGGGCGGTTAGGAATGGAAGGGTTGATGGAGAGGGAATGAGGGGTGGGGTTTGGGGGGGGTGAAGGGTGTGGTGAAGGGAATGGAAGGGGGAGAGGGTGAGGGAGAGGGAGTGAGGAGGAGACGGGTTGTGAGGAGTCCGGGTGAGTTTAGTTCCTGCAAGAGTAACGTCTACAGTTAATTATATTTATAGAAAAATTAAGAGCGACAGTCTCTGCTGCAGCGGCTACATTTGACTGAACACTGCGGTTCGCGCGGGGGTGGGCGTTTGAGATGAGAATTTTTACTCATTAACCTGCGTACGTCAGAAGTCGACATTGCAGAGATGTTGTTTTCCTCCTCGTAGGCTGCAGCTAAACGTCTGGTCTCCAAGATAAGAGGTGCTATATGTTGCGTCCTCCCAAATAAATGGCTACACATTAATCTCGAGGGCCTTCGTGTCTCTGGAGACACATCT